CCAAATTTTCACAGCTTTAACGTGACAATGAGAGGAACTTGAATGTGTCCAGAAAAACTATTTCATCGATTATTTACCAACGAGTTGTGGTTTGAGTTGGGGGCAATGCGACTAAAACAGTAATTGAAATTCAGGACACTATTTTTTAAAACGCGTTGCTTGAATAAAACTAACCAGACACATTCAATTTACCAGACTATTGAACAACTAGGAAAAGTGAAAAAAATACTTCTTATCGCCAGCATAAATGCGTAATTATTTTTTTTTACAGAAAAAGTAATTTTTCACCTTTGATTGAGTAACGCGTCGTAGATTGCAGATACGGGCATGCAAAATACACTTGTGAAAAGCTTGAAGTCTGGCGATTCTAAAAATATATACTTTCCCGGATCTATTTGTAGTCATTTAGTCACAATTAGAAGATGAAATCAAGTATGCAAATAATAGTCCAGCTACCTTAACCTTTAAGTAAGGTTTCAACGCAGTGCTTTTTTTGAATCTCAAATATATTGATTTTTTCCAAATTTGGTTGGCTTTATTCTTTAATTATTGGTCTATTCACTGAACGTGTTATTATCATTCAAATTGATTTCTTGTGTACTTGATTATTTTCACTAAACAAAATGGTTAGGGTAAATATGTTTTGTGAAATCGGCGTCATAATAAACTAATTTTTTTATTCCTAAAAAGTGTGTTCACTTCTGCAGACCTGATATCTGTGGTATTGCTTGGAATCCATACTTACAATTGTTTTGTGAGTGGTTGTTATATTGCTTGTGAATATCCTAGGACTCATTGTTTTGTCTTGCCTCAATTTCGATATCAGATGTTATTATGGCGATTTTATTTTACCACTGACACGCACCTATTTGGCATGTAACCAATATTACTTCTAGAAATTATTATTTCTCATATTCATGAGCGTTATTTAATTCGTAATCGTTGTCCTCATCACTCGTTCTATCCCTAACTCCATAGAATGTCACAACGAAAAATGTTTTTTTTTTATGTCAGCCATTTATGTTTCTACTAAGACAAACCAGATAAATGAATAAGTTACTATATTCTTGGCTTGCGTGTGACGTCACACAATTGTACATCCGGGTAACCGCCGCCATCTTGGGAGACAAGCATTCAGTTTCTGTTGTGCGGTAGACAGTGTGCTGCTTTCTCTTTATGTTGCGACGATGTCTCATTTTTGTTCAGTTTATAAGTGTGGGAATCGAGCAGACAAAAAAAAGCTTTTTTTGCATCCCGAAAGTTAGATCCTACGAAGGAGCCGAAACTTTGGAATTGTCGAAAAAACGTCAGGAAAAATGGCTAGCAAATATACGTCGAGCAGATATGAAAATGTCGAGTATTGAAAGTGGTTATTCGAGAGTCTGCAGCGATCACGTCGTTAACGGTAAGAAAATCTGTCCCTAAACTAAACATCTCATACCTGCTTGTAGTTTAGTATTATTGCTGCCGAGGTATTTGACATAAATTTTTCACTCATTGTCCCCGCGCGCTTGTCATTGTTAGCTGGCTGCAAGCGTCAGAAAACAATCGGAATGCCTAATTCGAATCATTTTTTGTTTGTCGACAAGTTGT